GATTTCCTGTTTTTTAAAGTTTATACAAAAAAGAACTTTTATTGTTTCTGTTTTCACAGTTTCTTGTATAAACTTTAGAAAACAGGAACAAAGTGTTAAACCACAAACGTTTTCTCAACCCAAATAGATCCTAAAATCTCTTCATCTTGTTAATCATATACTTCATTCTGTGTTGATAACATGATGAATGGTAATATGCCTTTCGTATCCTATGCTTGGTTGCTTAAAGTCATGGTAGAAATTACTAGCAGATGCCTCAAGTGCTATTAGGCTCTTGCAAAAGTTTCAGTTATGTGGGAATGGAAGCATAACATGACTGCAGTTAGCTATACTGATTTTACGTGTTTACTTCATGGATATAGTTTGATATTTGTATTGTGTGCACTCTTCTTTTGCAGTACACCCCATAGACAATGAACTTGAGGACTCATCACAGATTCGTGGGGTTGTGCGTGCTTCCCTTGCTCTATGTGCTTCAGTGTACTTATTGACAAGCTTCTTTGGGTTCCTTCTATTTGGTGAAGGAACTCTGGATGATGTGCTTGCAAATTTTGACACTGATCTTGGGATTCCTTTTGGTTCTGTGCTCAACGATGCTGTTCGTGCTACCTATGCTGCACATCTTATGCTTGTGTTTCCAGTTGTCTTCTATGCAGTGCGGATCAACCTTGATGGTCTTTTGTTTCCATCATCTAGGCCTTTGGTTCTAGATAACATCAGATTTTCAATGATTACTGTGGCCCTTATTGTTTTTTCCTTTTGGGGAGCAAATTTCATACCCAGCATTTGGGATATTTTCCAGTTCACTGGAGCAACTGCTGCAGCATGTTTAGCATTCATATTTCCAGCTGCCATCATCCTTAAGTAAGTTTGGTTCTGGATTTATTCGGTTTAGTAATGCATGAGGTTTTCAAAATGTTATATTTTAAGTTGTGTTTAGATAAGTATTAAGTACTCACCATGGAAGGGATGAGAAAAATGAAAGTAACAGTTGAATAATGGTATTGTAAAGAGAGGCAAATTCATGTTGGTTAAAAAGGTATAAAAATCCTGGATGAAGTTGTCTTGTGTATTGTACTGGTTCTGCCTAACAGCCACCTTGCCATGCATGGAAAACTTCTTGATCTCTGTGCTCTTTCTATTGATTAATTAACTCAACATTATCATTAAAAGTTTGTTTTATTACTACAGGGATCGGTTCAACATTGCAACTAATAGGGACAAGATTCTTTCTGTCTTCATGATAGTCCTCGCAGTCTTTGCAAACGTTGTGGCTATATACAGTGATGCACTTGCCTTGATCAAGACTAGTCTTAGCTCAATGGGNTATAAAAATCCTGGATGAAGTTGTCTTGTGTATTGTACTGGTTCTGCCTAACAGCCACCTTGCCATGCATGGAAAACTTCTTGATCTCTGTGCTCTTTCTATTGATTAATTAACTCAACATTATCATTAAAAGTTTGTTTTATTACTACAGGGATCGGTTCAACATTGCAACTAATAGGGACAAGATTCTATCTGTCTTCATGATAGTCCTCGCAGTCTTTGCAAACGTTGTGGCTATATACAGTGATGCACTTGCCTTGATCAAGACTAGTCTTAGCTCAATGGGAGTGATTTCATGAAACTTTCTTTAGAAGTCCACACGCAATATGTTCATACTTGCAGAAACAGGAGTGACAGGGTTATTGGCCAAGTAGAAAATTGATGTTTTCTGAGAGGTACGAATGATGGGTTGATTGTAAGATAAAGAAGCAACCCAATGTGTTGTTCTTCAAAATTGTGTAAAGGCCTGCAACATGTTCATCCTCCTTTGGAATTTGCTCTATATGGTATTGTAGTTCTAGAGGCTCTTCTTGATTGTCAATGTAACATAGAATGTTGGCTGAATGATTGAAGGGACGTGCTATGAATTATGAAATAATGATTTAGGTGAGAGAACTGTGAGCGTGCTTGTAATATATTGTGTTGTAAATTCTCCCCTATAGAACACTTTTCGATGTTGTGGCTTAGAGTTTCATGAAATCTATTTGAACACAAGCTGTCATATGTTAAAGAAAAATTGACTACATCGTTATAAGGTTCCAGCAATACTATATAGGTCAATAATGAGTTAGGAAAGAACACGAACTCCACTTCTATTCAAGATATGGATGAGGATGAAGAATGAGAGGCGTATAAAATTTCACTCTGCATAACTATCACTAAATAAAATAATGTAGTCTACAATTATTAAGCTTTCAGAATTTGACAAAAAAGATAATAGTGCCCTTTCCAACTCTCAAAATTGTTTTTCTTACCACATGATTCCAAGTTCTGGGTATTCTATTTCAGAACCTTGATTTTGCGTTTCGGAAAGAACTTTTCGGAATAAGTTCTTTTATGCATTTCTCTCTTCTTTCTATGTAACATTCTTCCCCTTTTTTTTTCTTCTTCCTTTACAATAGTAGTGGGATGACAGCAGTAGCAACGACGATAGTAACATTGATAGTGTGACGTAGTAATGAAAGGTGTTTGAATTCGTATTATTGGGAGGGTGCATTTAATAATTGTGGGATGCAAGAAGAAGCAGTAGCTTTAACTTTGCTTTCTAGTTACAGTGTCACATCGAAGGATTCTTTTATAAATTACGGTGGCATGAAACACTTTTACGTTCATTTAATATAGGATATAAGGTAAAATAATTTAAAAAATAAATTTTATATTTTTTAAGAAAAAAGAGAGTTATAAATAAAGTTAATGTCAAATAAAGATAAAAAATTTAGCTGTGTAAAAGAATTCTTTCCTTCTTTTACGGATTTGTAGAAGATATTCACCAAATCCCAATTTCTCTTGCTTAATCCTACAAAGTGGGATTTAGTTTGGTCCTATGTTATCATTTCTTTCCTACTGTTTCTTTTATATGAATAATGGTACATCTAACTCCTCTATTATTATATAAATAATTACTATTTGATTAAAGAAAATAAAATTACTTTTTTTACAGTAAGATTTTCTTTGAGATAACATTAATAATATATATTGAATATAAAATAATGATTTTTAAAAATAATACAAAATAAAGCAAAATGAAAATAAAAAACAAAAACTTTAAATAAATAACTATATATTGATTATAATATTATAAACAAATATAAACTAATATAAAGGATAAAGGCATAAGTCGAAATAAATGAAATGAAATAATAAACATAGTAAATAAAATAAAATAAATAAACAGGACTCCTAAACACTTTTCTCTTCTCTTTCTCTCTTATTATCATGCAACATGTGCATTTAATGTAGTATATCTCATCTGATCTCTTTTCATTTTCTCACCTAACTTACATTTTCTTCTTTCTTTTGCTTCTTCCTATCACATTTGCACCTATTTATAATCCAAAGTTTCAAGTAAACATTAAATGTGATCTTATCTCATCCTATTTCTTTATCTTCTTTTCTTCTTATTTCTTTCTTTTTCTATTTTCTTTATTCTTTCTTTTTATCCTTTCTTATCTCTTATATTTAAGATTATAATCTTCATTTAATTATTATTACTTTTTCAATAATTAACATATATATAACTAATTCTATTATTCTTTTTCTATCACTTATTTTCACTATTATTTCTATTTTACTTAGTTGCAATATTCTTTTAAAACTATTTGATTTAGTTTTCATTATTCAAACGATATATATAAACTACAAAACATAAATAAAATGCAAGATTTTTTAATTTTTATTTTTAAATAAGGATAAAATAAATAATATAGTTATTTAAAATGAAGGAATGTTACCGTACACATCAAAAATTTTGTATATTTAATCACACAGTAAAATTGTACAGGTCTCTAAAATAATTTAAATTCAAAATTGATTATTTAATATTGAATTAAATATGTTTTTAGTTTCTTTTGAGTTTCGTCCGAAAAAATTATTTATTTTAGTTTTTTAGTTTTAAAATTCTTATATTTAGACCTTAAAATTGAATGGTGTATGGTGTTAAGTTTTATTTGATGTGGCAAACAACATGTGATGTCACTTTCCCTGTTACTGTGTGTTACGTTTTGGTTTCTGAGACATTAATTCTAAACATCATATGTAACATCCTAAAATATAGTATAAACTACATAATAAAATATTTACATAAATCAATATGTTAGACCAGTTATCCACTTAGTAATAAAGAGTTACTAATACAGTTATCCCAAAATATCTATAAAATTTAAAACTTTGAATCAGAGACCTATTCTACTCAAGACTATGTATAAGACCGAACAGTCTGTACTAAACTATTGGATCTTCTCCTTCCAAAACTTGCTCCACTGAAACTTCTTCTACTTCTGCTCACATCCATCGGATGATCATTGCAAAGGATAAACCGAACGGTAACCATGGCAAAAACAGAAAAGTAGGGTAAGCTAGTGTAATTTAACAATCAGATTAACATACGATTCACTAAACAAATCAAATACTCATACATATACATAAAACACATACAGACATATTGACCAACCACTCTACTTTGATTGTACGGACTGGTATAAATATGTAGCTATGACCGTTCGTACACTCGTGGGTGTAGTAATTGGAAACCCATCAGTTGCCACACGAGGTTAGCCCGTCATACCTCACCTAAGGTCTTCTCCTTTATACTAGGACCTCCTGCTATTCTGACTACATGAATTACCCATCTCTACTTGAGATTTGGTAACCATTAGAATGTCAAGATGAACGCCATGAATTCCACTATCCATATTCATACCATACTATTACCTTGAAAACCGACCACCGAGACATTCCTCCTTGGAATTCTCTTTCATAACTACCTTTAGAAATCTCATGCCAGATTACAATATCAACATTATTTCTCATACATAACACATTTAAGCACTGAAATAAACACTCACAATACAATATAATCATAATCGTTTACAAATCGAAAACTTATTAGTAATATAGAACTAAACGATGATGACTACCACCCATGAATATGACTGAACGGTCAATTAGAAGAATAAGGCTCAACCTGAGCCAAATATGGTTTGGGATGCAAACATTAGATCAATTGAACACTTAGAGTTTATACCGAATGCTTATAACTAAAACTGAACACTTAGTGTAAGACCGAACGATCTTTCACTGTCCAAGACCGAACAATCCATACTAGATAATGTTGAAGAAGTGGCCGAACATGCTTACTGACCGACTACTAGAAGTTAGATATAATACTATACTATTCTGATTCTATAGCATGGCTAAAAGAAATATTATTAAACCAAACACCCCAACGAAACCGAGTACTAATGTAGATCGAATTCTAAAAGAAAATCGAGCTATACTAAGGGACCGAACTCTAGTGTAGAACCAAACGGTACAACAGTATGACCGAACGGTATAATAAAACAAACACCAACTCAAATCGAACAGTCATTAATTGGTAAGGCCCATAAGAGACCGAACATAGTTAACACTGAATACCAATATTGACACTAGACCGAACACTATTTTAAAATTAACTACCAGTACAAGACCGATCGATCATTAACTGAAGTTCCACATAAGCAGATCTTAGTTAAGACCGAACACAAGGAGAAGGCCGAACGATCAACGAAGGACCCTCAGCGAACTGCATAATTCTGCAGAATAACTACAGAATTATGATCAACACCAAATCTTTACCAGTTTCTTTCATTCTTCTCAACTTCTAATCCTCCCAATTTATATTATACAAACCTATATGTTTATAAAGAACATCTAAACATTCCTCATACAGATCAACTCACACCGAACCCAAATTCTCCACTTTTACTACCATAATTCCTTCCAATACCACTCGGTCACTGAACCAGCTTTATGCAGAACCACAATTAACATGAATACAACATATAACATTCTTCAATAACCATATCAAGCACACAATAATTCAGTTTCACACACATGCATCTCCAAGACACAAAATTTTCATACATCATAAACTAAGCAATTAAATTAACTAACTTCCCTTACCTTTTTTACTAAACCAAAATCTAAACAACAGCAAAACCTGATCACCACTAGAATTCCTAAGAACCTAAAATTCACCGACTCATAAGAATAAATCCACCAAAAGATCAGATTTATGATCAGAAATGGAAAGAGGAAGTGGATGAACACATGCAACTAGAAAATTGACTTGCATGTGTCAAGTTTTGGAATTTCACAAGAACTCAAGAAATCGAAACTTACCAGCTCTAAACAAGACTTTGATCGGTGGAAAAAGGTTGTTTTGGACTCCAAGATGACTTAAGCTTGGTCTGATTAGAAAGTAGATGAAGATGAGAGATTTTTAGAGAGAAGGAGGAGAAAAGAAGATATCAGAACTTTGGAGAGAGAGAGAGAGTGCATGCAGAGAATGGAGCAAAATTTTGAAACTTTCACTTATATACTACCGTAAAAAACCGATTGTCCACTCAAATGCATACACTTGTCTTCACACTTTCTCTGAATTTCTCAGTTCTTACATCATATGTTTCATTTTATTCTCCCAATTACCCTAACGAGAAAACTTTCCTAAGTTTTCTTTTCTTTCTCGTGAAAGCGAACCCTAAAAAGAAAATTGGGTTCTTCTTCTTTCGCATCCTAACCAGCAGCTTCGAGCTTCTTTTCCATCTACCACTCTCGCGGACCACCCAACCTTGGGGAGAACATCTATGGCGTAGCGACAACGCGACGATGACGGAGCGATAGTGCGGCGAGAGCATAGCTGGTGGAGTAGCAATAGCGACACTGTAGGAGGCGCGACTTAGGCATGATCTCGCCTTCGTTGACGGCGAGGCGCGACGAGGTGCGACAAGGACGTTCTGCAACATCGACGCCTCTACAAGGGACTCTGGCTTCTCCGATTGCGACGACGAGGTTGAGGCGCGATCTAGGTAGAGTTCTTCATCGCATAACTCCGGGAGAGTTTCTTTTCCTTTTCCGCCATGGAACTTGCTCACGGTGCTGTGGAGAAATTTCTTTTCCTTCTTTTTCTCCGTTA